CCCAACCCAAAACATGTTCTCATGGAAAAAAATAATTTCAAGTAAAGATGAAGATGGGTTTTCACCATTTCAACAGTTCTGTGACTTCAGTCAGTAGCAATGCAAAGCCTGTGCAACAGCAGCTGTGCTTCCTGTTCCAAAAACCACCCAAGCATCCTGCCCTCTTCATAGTTACCATCTTTGGGGTCTTGTTGCTTTTTTTTTTTTTTTTTTCCTCCTTGTAAATACCACTAGCAGTTCTTCAAAAAAAAAAAAACAAAAAAAAACCCAAAAACCAAACAAAACAAACCAAGATAAATCTAGACAAAGGGAAGAAGCCTTACACCCCCCACCCCACCCCCCAAAAAAAATAATCTTCCCAGGAGTGGGAGAAACTTCTCATTTCTCTGTCCATTTACAGTATATTTCAGGGGAACTTGGCCCAGGTTCAACAGGACTGTCCGCTGAAGGAGGGTCGCAGAAAGGCCAGGGCTAAACTTTGCTCTTGGCAAATTAGAGTCTTTAATAAAGAGTAACATGTGCAAAAAAATTAAATAGATCAACCCAGGTTTCCAGAATTACTGTTGTCAGAATGCTTACTTTCTATTTGTGTTCTTACCCAACCCAATGCTGAAATCTCAATTAAGTACCCGAGGTAAGAAGTGACATTTGGGAGAGATCACCACAAAGAAAAAAAAAAACAAAACAAAACAAAACCAAAAACCAAGAGGTGCAATCTGTTACCTCAGTGTCCTTCCTCCACCCAGATGCCTGCTTTAAAGACATGTATGCAGCAGCAAAAAGAAAAAAAGTGTAAGAATATCCCCTTCTCTTCGTGAGGACAAAGCACTGTTTCTAGTTGTTGGAAGGAAGAAGAGTTTCCTAGCAGGTGGAGTGGGTGTTTAACCTTCCATTTGCGAAGAGGGGATGGGACGATCAGCTGCTCCCAGTTGCTTTCTGGCAAGTTTGTGGTGGTCTTTTCCCACTGGGCACATTATAGCTGGAAACCTTCCATGGGGGCTTCAGGTTGCTGGAAGATGAATTGTTGCTGGTTCTCATCTACCTGGGGAGCTAGAGCGGAGTCATCCTCTACTCCAAAGTAGTGCTCAATCAGGTCAAAGGCCTTCTGGTAGATCTCTTGGTTCTCGTGGCTCTGTAGGAACTCTATCTTATCCAAACCTTGGATGGGGAAAAAAAAAAAATAGTGGAATGCAATGAAAAAAGGGGATTCTGATATTTAAGCTGTCCCACATCCACCCTCCATCCTTGCTCCTATTCACTGTGCGACCTTTGGTCTGTATTAGATTTGCATTTTGTGAGCAGCACTGACACCTAAAGCTCACTAATGCAGAGCTGCTTGTGGGTTTCATCTGTATCAGGCAACGTTAAACATCTTTTCAATAGCAGGTTCAGCTGAGACAGCTCAAGCAGATGTGCTCCCAGTTCCCTGCTGGGGACTAAACCACATTTCAGTGAAATGAAAACAACTGGCTGCGAACAGTTTGGTAGTTGCAGGGGGTAGGGAGGGGAAGGACACAGGGCCCGTCCCAGTAGCCTCCAGCAGAAGGGCACAGCAACAGCTTTAGCTGTCCTAGTTAAATCCAGTGCTGAACAGAAAGCATCCAAGCACAATATACTCTCAAGAATTTCAAGAATTATTCTTACTGGGAGAATCAGGACACACAGTGTAACAGTCAGTGAGAGGGCAAATCAGACACTGGCAGCATACAGGGAGTTTCAGACCAAAATAGGAACTGCTCCTCAAAGCATTCAGAGCAGGACAAAAAAAAAAAAAAAAAAAAAAACCTGGAATTCCATTATACATCTACAGTGTACAACTGGGTACCGTTAGAGCAATCTTAGGCCCAGAAGTGCCACTTTATACTTAGCTCAGCTTATTTCTGCACAGTACCTCCAGCTGATGCAAGCCACAATTAACCAGCTCCAGGTCTAGGAAGCCTGGACCAGAAGCACGAGAGTTTTAACTTCCAAGTATTTTATTCTCTGCCCCATCATAAGAGTCTAAAAAAAGACAGACTACTGGGACAAATATCAGCTAGTTTGGAATATACTAAACCCCTTAAGTGCAGCAGAAAAGCAATCAACAAAACCAGCAGGCACCTTCCAATACATCCTACAGTGCCCAAAGCCAACAGCACTGAGGCCTCCAGCCACAACCTACCATAGGCCTCCTCAATCAGGCTGCAGTAGGGGTTGATGCCCGTCCCGCTCTGGTTGGCTTCCTGCTCCCCAAGCCTCAGGATGTTCTCCAGGCCGTTCAGTGCCACCTGAACAATCTTGGAGTCCATGACAGTCAGCAGGTCACAGAGAGGCTTGATACAACCCAAGTTCACCAAGTATCTGAAGAGAAAGCACCACCAACACAGGCTTGTTCAGGATCTAGCAAGCATCCCCGCTTTGCTCGGTTAGAAAGACCAAGGGAAAGGAGTCGAACTAAAATACAAAAAGTTACCTTAAAACGTATTTTTTCCTGTTCTGTAAGGTTAATTTTTATCCACTTATTTGTATTTGTATACACACACCCCCTTTTAAGAAACCTGCCAACTCCGTTTGAAATCCAGGTGCTACTCTAAGTCCACACCGGGATTTAATTTGTCCTCTAGGCTGGACATTTAGCCTAGTCTAAGGATCTAAAGGGGAGGGGGAAGCAGTTGGGACTGGCTTATCCTTATTCAGAAGGAAGCTACAATTTAGAGCACAGTGTAGGATGCAGCTACAGCTCTGCCTGCGTCTCGGGGACCCTCCCAGAGGTTCTCTGCGTTACTGCAGGACAGACAGAGGCACCGTCCCCTCAGATCTTCCCCGGGAGGAGCCACATCCAGTACCTGATCTGTTCGGGAGTTCCTCCTGACGTTGCATTTGTAATAGCCCACGCTGCCTCTTTCCTCGTGCGGAATTCTGCTTTCTGCAAGATTTCTATCAGTACCGGGAAAATGTTTGCATCTATGACCGCCTGGGGAGAGAGAGAGAGAGAGAAGTAACAAGGGTTTGGATCGGCAACACAGTTTCTAAAAGGCTATTAAGCACCTGAAAGAAACCTCTACCACCATTTCCCAAAGCAAAAGAACTTTCCAAGCTGTACCCTTCAGCGATTCCTCCATTTTATTCCTCAGCCAAATCCTATTAACCCGAGATACTCAATTCCCTAACTAGCACAGCAGACAATCACTGTTATTGCATCAATACTGCAGGAATGCTTTCATCACTTATCTGCCTTTGTATGTAGGTCATTAAAAGGATAATTAAAACTCAACAAGCTTCAGCTTTTCAAAAGGGGTGTATCTAATTGAGCATGGAGAAATAGGGGCTGTATCTCCTCTTATTCCAAGGATCCAACCTGTGGGACTCATTTCAGCCTAGTCTGTGTTGGTACAATTAGCAAGGGTTTGGTTGTTTGTTTTTTTTTTTTATTTTAGCTCGTTTGGCAGATGGCCAGGAGCAGCAAGTTTGGAAATTGCTGCAGAATAAGAGATGTGAACGAAACCCGCTTCTAAGTGCCAGAACACTGCAAATCCTTAAAGCTGAGCTTGGAATCTGGGATCATTACAGGTGGGCTGGAGAAGACTGTACCTGTATTTGTGCTCTGTTTCCTGCTGTGATGTTAGATATAGTCCAGCAGGCTTCTTTCCTGATTGACTCCTTGGGACTACTTAATAAATGAAGGAGACAAGGCAGGGCTGAACAGTTCAGAATCACCTTTTGAAAGAGAAAAAGCACAAGTGAGACCACCAGAGCTGACGGGTGCTGCACCTCCCTGCAAGAAAGCGGCTTCCCCTCACCTGGGTTTGGATGTCGTCCCCCGTCACGATGTTGCCAACCGCTCGCAGAGCTGGGGAGGCCACTTTGTAGTCGTTGTGCCTGTAGGAAAAACGGGGCAAGGACAAACCCAAATCTATCAGATCTCATGCACCTGGATGTTCAGAAGATTCTCCCCAGTATCGTATCTGCATTATTTACTTCGAATTCCATCCCGGAGCATACAGAAGCATACAGTAAGCTGACCACATCGCCACTGGATAAGCCCACTGAAAACAAAGCTGCGATAGTTTTCGTCCTTTACGTCCTAACCATCATCCTCAGCTCACTCACCTTTTACACATCCCTCCTGAACAAAGATGACGTTAACCCAGTAAGAACACCCAGAATTATTCAGAATTTTGGAAGTACTTCAGTTCTACCCATTCCGAAGGTGACAGAGGCCTACTCAAACTGCAGCTATCAGAGAAACAAAGCCAAGCTGGCTTTTGCTAGACACTATTCTTTCCACCTTTGATTTGCCTAGGAACTAGGCTTCCACAAGCATATTTGAAAGTCTGAGGGCACAAGACACTCTGCAGTCCCCTCTCCTTTCACAGACTAGAAAAGTCAGTCTGACATCTCTATACTAAGTTTTTCCTAGCATACAGCATTAACTAGCATTCCAGCACTAGAAAATACTCAGCTTCTCTCAGACAGAAAAGCCATTAACCACAGCTCTCAACCTGCTTCCGATCCTCCTACGTAATCACCCCAAAGTCAGCTGAAGTACCCAATACCTGAATCCTGTGTGCACCAGAGGTGTGAAGAGTGCTCTGATGGGCTTTGCTATGAACTCATGCCCAGTCCCACGCTTCCCAGTCTCACTGGGCTGAAGCAGCAAGACAAGATATACTCACATTAACAGCTCCACCAGCCGCCGACACACTCCCGAGTCAATAACTGCTTGGATTTTCTCATTGGGGCCATCTGATAAGTAGGAAAGAGCCCAGCACGCATCTGCCAGCAAGTCAGAGTCACTGTTGAATAATAATCGGGACAACACTGGCAGGCAGGGAGATACCTACAACAACAGCCACCACCCAGAAGGTTAGTCATGTTCTCCCAGGGACCACCGCATTTGCATGCAAACACCATGTGGATATGCTGACTGGCAAGATAACAAGTCTTGAATGTCCACAGTTTCCTTCCCCAAAGTCAGCAGCTTCCTTGCTGGTTCACATACCTCATAATCACAGTGTCTAAAGTTACCTCAATGCCTTTATTGCTAAACTAAAATTACATCCCTTCCTCTTGGACCAAGTCTAGACTCCTGAGACAAGTGCTACCGTGCACGCTACCATTTGGAAGCTCCTCACATGCCTTATGTAAGAGCACTGCTCCATTTCTTACTCTTAATAACCCTAAATAGCTCAGTATTCAGAGAAGCAACCATCAACAGTTACACCCCTGAATACTTCAATCATTTGTAAGTGGTCTTACATTCATGCTCAATTCAGATTTCATCCCCCACCACAGGCCTCCCAGATTTGACAAATGAACTTTCATTAAAAACAAAAGAAGTGTAACACATCGATCTTAAAACTTTTTTGTTCTACCAAAGAAGGATGAGACATCTGAAAGGCCAGCGGAACCTTCTGCCAGTGCCAGCAGCACACCAAGAAAGGGAAGGAGAAAACCTACCACAGCTCCCACACAGATACAAGAGTCCTGTTTTGTAGCATTGAGATGTCCTGGAATCAAGTTTTTAGTCACAATTTGAGGGAAGTCTCAAAATGCCAGAGTTCATAACAAAAGGCTCTAGAGAAGCCCACAGTTGCTACCTTGCAGGGAAGCCCGAGCTTGCCCCTCACTCCAGCTGATGGGCTGCCAATAGAGCCGGGCAGGAAGGTTGGCACAAAATTAAACAGGTACTCAGAGATCTGCTGAACAGCGAGATCAGCCTCAGGAGGAAGAGGCTCACCCTGTTCCCTCCTGGAATAACTTAGAGAAGTCCAAGAGCCAAAAATAATGTAGACAAACATCTTGACTGAGTGTCTCCCCATCACCTGTCTGCCAGCAAGGCATTTATTCTCACCTTATCAAATTCAGGTGGTGGACTCTTTCCTCTGCACAAGTTTGACAAGGCCCAGACAGCATTTCGTGTCATTGTCAACCTGGTGGACTTCGTAAGGAGCCTAAAGAGACAATTATCATGAATTATAATCCTTGATGTAGAAGTCAGCAAGGGAATCAAAAGAAGGAAAACTAGTGTGATTTTAAGGATGTGAAACCACTATTCCGCTGGCTGTAGCCGTGCTGCTTGCCACTTGAGCCTCTCAATAAACAAGAAGTGACGTGCAACTGCTTCTTAGGATAAATAGCTATTATTCCTAACAACGTCAAGTGGTCAGGAAGGCAAGTTCCACATTAGACAAGTTGCAGGAGAGGCAAATGTGTAGTTCCAAGTTCAAATTCAGCCCAGACAGACACTCACACCCCTACCTGAGGTCAGATGGTCCTCACTAGAGACCATCGGACACAAACTGCTGCCTCTCAGCTCTAGTGAGGACAGCGAGTCCCCTGGGCTGAGGACTCCAGCCAGCAACCCCTGCTGACAGGTGACTGACAGAAGCAGCAGGATAACAGGCCAAGTCATTTGTGACAAAGCATCAGTTCACCGAGGACAGGACAAAGCAAAGATTAATTCTTTCCAAAGCAGCGAAGGGTACTTGAGAGCACCCTCCTGACAGGCAGAGCTTCTGACTAGGGTGGGTATGCACCACACAAGAGCTGCAGAGAGACCGGCTCCCTGTCCTCAGTCCTAGAGGAGCCCGCTCAGCCAAGCACCTGAAATCCACAGCACAAGCACAAAGAGGAGGCGTCTGGAGGGACACACAGTGAAACAGCAAGCCCTGTGACTTCAGAAAGACAAGCACACTGCCACAGCACCCGCTTCAGATTCAGAGCAGTGTAAAGGTTTGTGAGAAGGCATGTTATCTACCAAGTCCCACTCTATTTATTAGATAACTTGTCTGAACTGCCAGTTTATCTGGGAGCAATGGTTTGATTCCCAGTGATCACCACCACGCATTGCTTGGGAATCTATTTGCTCAGCTCAAATATTGCTCTGCTGTAGTACAATGGGACTTCAAGAACTGTGTTGGCAAGTATTCATGGCTACTCACATTAATAAGGGAGGAAGAATAGCGCAGTTAAGGACATAATCTCTACACACAGAGCTGTCTCCAGCAATGTTCCCCAATGCCCAGACAGCCTGAAAGGAAAGAGCAACAGTTTTAGCATTCACACAGTTTCTGAACAGAGGAAGAAAAAAAGGGTAGTGTGCTAAGAAAGCATTTTCCCTGTAATTCCAGGCAAACAATACTTCAGCTTGTGGTCTGGAGCCACTTGTTACACACTGGTCACTCACTGAAGCACTGCATTTTTATCGTGTGCAATCCACTGTGGTTCTCTCCCTAGCCCCAAAGAAAGAAGTGAACCTTACCTGTTCTTGAACATCCTCAAAGTCAGAGTTTAACAGCTCTATAAATATAGGAACTGCCCCAGCCTCAATTACTATTTTTGTTTGTTGGGAAGTTCCTGATGCAATATTCGTCAGTGCCCACGCTGCTTCAAACTGAAACAAGCAAATAAATGACAAAAGTATGAATAAATCCTGATTTAGCCAAATAATTTGCCATTAAATTTTCGCTGTAATTCTTTCAAACTTCTACTAAAAAGGTTGCGAAGGAAAGAAAGCATATCACAGCAGAACACCTCACTACTCAAAGGAAAGGATTTTATTTTCTTGAGCAATAAAAAAAAAAAAGCCACATCTGCTAACTGCCTTCTCAGAGGCTGCAGCTTCTCAAAGGATTCGCAAGTGAAGACATCACTGTCAGTCACACCACATCACTTCACCTACACAACAATTCTCCAGCAAGAAAAGTGAAGCCACATAGTGCATAAATACACGTGGAGCAGAAAGTTGTCTGTATCCAGTGCAGACTAGGCAGCTGTAGCCTCTTGTCTGGTTGACACCACAGAGATGCCTTGAGTTCAAGTGAAGCTGAGCAGCAAGATCCCTGCTATTTCCACTCATTTTTTGGTTTAAAACCAGATTTCCATTCAGTTCTTCTTGAAAGTAAGCCCCCACGATACATGGCCCTGGGCCAGAGGGCAGGAAGAAAGCTGAGGGCAGCCATCAACACGGATCCAATCCCACGTGTGGAAGTATCTTTAACCCCTACAAAGTAACTAGAGTTATTACCAAGCTGGAAGGAATCTCAAGAAGCTATCTCGTCCATCCCTGCGCGCCCCACGGCGGGAGCAGCACTACCTTACCCATTCCTAACAGACTCTTAGCTTGCACTTAAAAGCCTCCAATAATGGAGGTTTTTCCTCACACAGTTTTCTTCCTACAGATTAATTCCATGGCTCCCCGAGCTCCCAGCAGAAATATCAGACACAGGAAGGCCAAATCCTCTTCTGCTGCAGCTGAACTATGTTATTTTTGCCAGCATTCTCCCAAGAACTTAATTTAAAGCAATTTCTAATTTCCTTTTTTGCATAAGCATTACAGGCTACCTTTGTCTTCTGTACATCATATAACCTGCACCTTTTGGGTTCAAGACATCGCTTTTCCCTGATAGCACCTGTGGTTCACGTTGCTAAGCTGTGAAGGTTAAACAGCTACATGCCACGAAAAATCCGTAACACAATCTCCTTTACCTGTAGCGTGCAATTTTCACTTCTTTTCAGGAATTCAACAAATCTGTCCACCACTCCCTGAGTGTTTATCACTTCATCTATTGGAGGATTTGGCTCTGAAATAACAAGGCAGTGTCAAAACAGTACACAGGGCTAATGCAGGGGAATAACAAGCGTGAACTGAATGATCTCAAACTGAAGTCGGCAGGACAACTCTCCAGAATCACTTTCTGTATAATTCATAAATCATTAGAAATATACTGGATTATCAGATTTCTAGATTACAACTTTCCTCCCCCAAGCTCAGAGCTGCTAAGCTTCTGCACAGCAACGTAACGCACAAATGCTTGCAAAAGAAAGGCTACGTCAGATCCCATGGCAGCGAAGAGTTATTTTTACCTTTGGAGAGTAACTTCCTGAATTTCTGAGTGGTTGCTAGCTGGAGATCAGGGTCATCTGAGAAAAGCATCTCTACCATCTCTCTTGTGATCACTCCCTCCTGAAAAGATGCAAAAGAGACAGAACAACGGTTCCATTTCACACCAAGATCATTTAAGGCATCACGGTCATGACAGCCTACCATGAATTTGTGCTTAGCTAGTAATCCAAACATTCACAACTGGAGATTACAGCATGCTATTTATTTCCTGGGAGACTTTTTCCAGTTGACTGTAGTAACGTTTGCAACATTCTCAAAAGTGAGAAAACAAAACCACTGAGGTTCGTCAGTGCTACACAGTCCACAGCATTAAATCTATCCGAAGGCACGACTGGAACAAGGAAAGGCACCTTACCCCACATGTTGTGGAACTAACATAGGAATCCACAAGGAGACTGTCAAACATGGAGGCATCTTCATTGATCAACTCCACGTTTCTTCTTTTAAAGAGCTGGTGGGGAACAAAACACAGGAGTCATTATTAGAAAGCAATAATGAACAGCCTTCATAACTAGACATTCTTGTTCCTCAAACAAGATACCGTCAGCTAGACTGAACGCAACCTGAATACAGAAGTAGTCATTAATAACAGCTCTGCACTCCGAAGACTAGCTTGGCACACAAACCCCAATAATAAAGCATGCTAAGTCTTGCCTTCAGATATGCAAATGCCCAAGTCACTGAGACACCGGTACAGGCAAGTGCAGAATTTGATCTAACAAGTTAGGGAAACTGGGGAGAAGGCAGCTTGTAGATGACACACTAACAGAGCAAACATTTAGTCTGAGCCACATACATCACCTGGGAATCACCTCTTACTTTCACAGACCTCCAAGCCAAAAAAAAAAAACCCCAACAAACAAACAATAGCTCAGAGTTAAGAAATATGTGCAGCCCATACTTTCACTTGCTCTTCCTGCTTCTTGAGGAAATAACCCCATGTACTAATCATTAAAAAAAAATCCAAAAAAACACACCCCTTAAAAACAAGGATCTGTGAACAAAAACCTCCAGTACCCCAAGGACAAAGTGCTTGGAGAGCTCTTGATGCGAGCTACACTCTGTACTAGGTACAAAGAAAAAAAGAGAAAAGCAAGATCTCAGTTAGAACAGGACAAATAAGAGGACTGCTAACGAACCTTAATGCACAGATCCTTGAAGATTCCAGTTTGGCAGCAGCACAATCCTGGTTGTGTTAAGGCTGTACACAAGCTAGTCAAGATGACAGTTACCTGTTGCTCTCGTTTCTGTTTGCGCAGTTGAATTCCTTCCTCCTCTCTCCTCCGACGCATTTCCTCTGGATTTAGGGCTTTGTTCTTGTAACTCTTCATTCGATAGTTATCCTTTGCAGGACTCGCCATGGTTTCTGTGAAGAGGAAAAAAAGAAAAAAAAAAAAAAAAATTTGCCTCAGATTTCTTGTCACTCTCTGCTCCTTTACACACATGTCCTTTCTGACAAGGGGTCCGTGCACATGAAGCAACACGAAATAGCCAGATTAAAAGAGATTTATTTGCAAGAGCTGGTCTCAAACACTAAAGTAGAAGCTTCAAGTTAGATCCTAACCTTAGTTTCACGTGATATGCTGTTACCACAAGAGTGTTACAAAGCTTCTAGGAAGCACAAGAATAGATTTACTATTCCAAAAGGAACATGGACCCAACGTCACGGTATCGAGCACATTATCCATATGAAAGGCTTCTACTCAAACAGCTTCATCATCCTCAGGAAGTGCATAACTCAACTCTACTTTGGTTTTCAGCAGAAATTATTTCCCTTGTATCATCACAGCATAAACGACACGGGTTTTTTTTCCCCCCTCAGGATGAGACGTTCACTGTTTACACGTGGCAAAACTCCAACAGAACGCACAGCAAACTAAGGCCTTGATTTTAGAACAACAATAAAAATCCTTGCAAAAAGCAGACCCGTACTGACGTATAGGCCATGTTTGTCCCACCAGGTTACTGCACATGTTCAGTACCTGACCTACTTATTCTGCTGCTTCATATCTGACTAATGCACCACTTCAAACCTGATTACTTGTGTATTTGCCTCCTAGTCAGGGAAGTGACACTCCACTATTTGGCACAGTTAAAGGCAACCAGGGCCAAGCAGTAACCTAAGTACAGAAGGATATCAATTCCTCAGCTGCATCCAGCTGTAATCCCCTGCTTTGACCATGTCGGTTCCTTTTTGCATCTTTTCAAACTCCCCCTTTTTCCCCATTTACACCACAGATTATTTGCTTAACATCTGTGCCTTTCTCAGGCCAGGGAGAAAGCAATCATGATACACAACATCAGAGTGCCAGTTAAGCCCGAGACCAACTTACTCTTCTCCAGAAGTCTGCTGGACACCAGTATCTTTGTTTTCTTCCAACTGCTAAGGGCAGGTGGAAGTGTCCTGTGAAAGTCTGCAGCGCTATCTCCTTATCCCTCCTCTTTTGAGCTTTAAGCACTTCTCAGCCACCTCCTTACAGAAAGTTTCAGTCTGACTTATCAACCGCCTCCAGTCATTCTGGAGCTCTTCCAAGATCAGCTGGAGAAGTTTCAGACCTTACTGCCCTCCTACTACAAAAGGCCACGGTCAAGCCAAGAAAAGACATATACAACATATAAACAACCAGCGTTTCATTGCTATGGAAAGAGGAAACAACTGGAAAAACTTCTATTTTAGCAGGAGAGAAAACAAAATACTTTCGGTTTATAATTTCCCAAAACCAGTTAAAAAAAGACACCAAGCGTTGTGAACAAGTCAGACTATTTCACAGCATCTGCCTTCTAAGAGGACATTCTCTTCCCTAGCCAAAACATCCAGAGGATATTCCTCCGAAAAGCAATAGATAAAGAAAAACAAACAAAAAAAACCCCAACACGCCAAACCCCAAGTTCCTCTGGTCATTTACACTGTAATAGAGATGCGTGTCCCTTGAAAACCGCCCTGACCCCACACCACCCAGAGTTGTGAAAGAGTTTTGAAGCTCAGCAACCGCCAGCTGCACCCAGAGACAACACCAGGCTTGAAGAGGTGCAGCACGATGGCTTGTAAGTTTATTGGCACCTCTGAAACTAAAAAAGAAGCCACCAACCACAACTCATCACCAGTAAAAGCAGTATTCCAGTGCCAGGTTAGAAAGCCTTTTTCAGTAACTTGCTTAGGGCACAGCCAGCGGCCAGAAAGGGACTACATCACGCTGAGCATCGCGAAGGCAAGGCATCTAGCCTCCACACTGATGACAGGGTCGAAACAATCAAATTACAGTAGGTCCCGCATAATCTTGAGCCTTACAGAAGTCTCCTTTTAGACCCTTTCCCAAGTAATCCATTTGGTAAGGTCTGTCTTCAATAAAACCAAAGCAAGAAACCTATTTACACCACGCTAAGCACAGCAGTTGGACTATACCTTGCTGACAGCCTCACTGTGAAACTGGTATTAATTTTTTTTTTTTCCTCTCTGAGTTTCCTTCTCACGAGTCAGAGGTTCAGAGGAATATCTGGACTGTTTCTGAAGGTATCTGACAGCACTTTCCTCATTTTATAAGACCTTTTACATGGCAAGGAAAAGCAGAGAATGAAGATCACAGGAACTATGCAACAGCTCTCACTTGTCCATCCTTCTTCCCAGCAGCATGCACGCCAAGAATGGAGGGAAGAATTTTATTATTAAACTCCAAAGCATCTAATTCAGAAGACAGAAGACTTCAAAAAAAAAAAATCTACAGGCTTTAGGGGTTTATATCTGATCTTACAGTAGCAAGATATGGCATCTACATATAGATTTTAATTCTGAAAATGTCTTTAATTACCACTGTTACGGCAGCGTACACGTATTACTACCCCAACGCTACTGGCTAACACAGCCACACAAAGGAGTAAGAGTTGCTGGCTTAATCCTGAAGATTACAACAGAATCGCTAACAAAGACAAATCTGTCGACTCCCTTTGGAAAGTGAAGTCTCCAATTAAAAGGTAGTTTTTAAGAAAAGGAGGAGGAAAAAGTGATTAGGTGACTTAATGCTACACGTGGGATTACCAGGCAGTTAGTCATATAAATAGCTGAGTGACACGACAGTTCAGCTGCCTCCAAACTTGCACAACCCCACTCGGCTGGGCACACCCCAGCCCCTGCTCCGGGTGTCCAGAAACAGCCAGAGACACCCAGCTGCGCTGTGAGGTCTCAGAGGACACTCGAGAGCATCGAGAATGCTGCAAGAAAATCCCAAAGACACAACCAGCCCCCAAGGAGTGATTTTTCAGGTCAGCGGTGTAACAGAACGTCACTGCGCAACAGCCTCTGTGGCACTTGATTTTCTATTTGCTCTCGCACACGTTTCTCTCTTCGGATGATTTCCATTGACATGTGTCGATACTTCAGTGACATCAGAATGCTAATTAGTGACATTACACCCCATTTTCATGTCACAAATGCAGGATTATGACTTCACGGTGAGCTCAGCAGATGCTGTAGGCACCGCAGACTGCAGCAAGCCCAAACACATGAAACAAAACAGACAGCGGGATGCCAGGCACGTAAAAATTCTTTACTTGTAGTGTTTCAGTACAAAACATCAGCTCATCCACTGTATCTGCATGTGAGGCTTCGCCATTAACTATTAACTTGAATTCTATCAGTGTGAATACCCACAAAACCCCACTAGATCAGACTACTGGAGTAACCTGGACTATCAGGTTAGGGAAAGAAATCATCTGCTCATCTATGAGTGATGCACAGAAGATACTCAAGGCACAGATTTTCACTTTGCATCTTAACACTGTTGCTCTGAGAAGCTTCACTTTTACAGAAAAGCTCTCGACTGTAAAGTGGCAGCGGAAACTTATCTACAGCAAGTTCCTTTAACTGCTCTGAAGTTTTAGCTGCTGCATTTAAGCAGCCACCTGAACTTCTACAACACGCTGTCCTGCTAGGACAGCACCTTGCACTGCATCTCTCCTAGGAAGTGTTTTCCTTCTCTAAGAACCAGCTTAAACCCTGCCCTAAATTAAGATAGTATCAGTTCACACCCTAGAATTACAACACTGTTCTGATGTTGTTCCAGCCAGAACTCTGGGGCTCCAAGCCTCCCTGCAGCACCCCGAGGAAGCTGGGCAATACGGCTTTTTCCTTCTATACCCCAGCAGCTCACCCAGAGCAAGTTGTGGAGCCTGCAGCTGCTCTGGGTACCCCTTTTTCCTGAGACCACACCAAACAGACTGCACACCAGGTAAAGCGTTCCGGCAGCGCCTGAAGCCTACTCACCACTCCTCTCTCCCCAGAAGTCACCCCCCAACCGTCATCCTGGGCACGACAGGGACAGGCACCCATCCCCGTGATGGGAAAAGGCTGCAGGCACCCGGGACACAGCGCTGTGAGCCCACCTAACAACCTGCTGAAGAAAGGACAAGCTTACTGCCCGTCTTTCATATAGCTCAGTACATGGCAATGCAAGAGGGATACACAGGCATTTGGGTAGCACAGCCAGACACCACAGCCCCAGCATTGTCCCTTCACAACAGGTGTAAAACTGTATTTTCACTCCCAAGAGCTGCTCAGGCAACAAGCTCAGCTCAAACCCTGTCTGCCCAGGTGCAGAAGCAACGCCTGTGTGGGAGCAGGACTGTGAAGCAAGGGCCAGAGCTTGCCCTGTTCTACTAGATATCAGCACAGCATGAATATGTTGTCGGAAAAGAAAGGAAAACAAGAATTAGGACAGAATTAGAACGAGGCACCTCCTCCACCAGTGGAAACAGTAGCACAGCTTTTCCAAAACCAGCAAAAGCCAGTCCAGCTACTTACATTTCAGGCCCTTCCTTGCTTATACTTCATTCCTACCACCCAAACTCCTGCTGCAAGACACAGCCTCGTTTTCTAGGAACATGGTTT